AATAGAGATGATAATACTACCGACCTCATGTAGCTGCTGGGAGGATCCCAGGGGATACGGTGCATAGAGTGGCTTAGCCCATTCTAATAGAAGCAGGGCACGCTAAGAGCTCAATAAAGGTAGCTAAATGTTGTCGCTGTCGTCACTGGACTCTCCAAGCTTCCATCTATCAAATGGTCCCAAGTCCCAGGTTTGCTGGGAAGATCCACTGAGCTAATAAACGTGTTATGAAACTGGAAAGTGCTCTGCTAACAAAACAAAACAAAAAAATGTAAAGAGCAGTCTAAAGATCGTGGGCAATAGCGCTGGCCCTTGCGGCTCAGTGGCTTGGGCGTCTCCGGGTGCACCGAAAGGTTGTCACTCAATTCCCAGTCAGGGCACATGCCCAGGTTGTGGGCTCCACCCCCAGTGGGGGGCCTGCAGGAGGCAGCCGATCAATGTTTCCCTCTCACATCGCCGTTTCTCTCTCCCTCTCCCTTCCTCTCTCTCTAAAAAATCAATCAGTAAAAATATATTTTTTTAAAAGATTGTGGACAATAGACGTGAAACATCAGGTCAACGAAACCAGGACTGGACCCACCACCCAGGGAAAGAGTAAAAAGGGAACCATGAAAACATGCATCAAGGCTCAACGCCCACTTCCACACGTGGAAACATCTGTCACTCTGTGGTTAGACCTGCCGCCCCAGCCTCGCCTCGCGGTCATTTCGGAATGGAGAAGTGGCCGTGGGCCCACCTCCTCGTCTGTGAACGGCTGACGTCGGGGCTTGGACAGAGGGTCGGGGGAGGCACCCCAAGCTGAACTGAAAGCATTCCCAATGGGGCACCTCCTGCAGCCCCACCCGGTGCCCAGCTGTTCTGTGGCAGGACTCCGGGGCCCCGGGGCTAAGGACTCGGCCTTCACAGCCAGAAGCAGCTGTGCCCAATCCCAGCCCTGCCCCTGCTCCTGCCCCTGCCCCTCACCAGCCCCGTGGCCCTGGGCTCTCTCCTCCTTCAGCCTCAGAGTCTCCTGCTGGGGATCATAATAACCTGCTTTCAGGGTTGTTGGGAGGATTAAATCAGATAAAGTCTGTAGAGCACCTGGTAGGCCTCGCACACTGTAGGTGCCTCAGAGAACTTCCCTTTAACGTGGGGCCGTCCACCAAGCTCCACGCCCCTGCAGAGCAGGTGGAACCCACGGGGACACACGTTTCATGCGGTGCGGTTTGTGCTAATCGAGAGGGAAGCACGAGGTGCTGCCACCCCATGGGGGTGCCGGGAGCTAAATCTCGTCAGACGGGTAAAGGTTAGCTGAGCAGTGGAGGGTGGGAAGGGCATTCCTGCAGCTACGACCACAGGAGCAAAGCCAGGAGGCACAGAGGGCTCCTGCTCCGAAGACAAACCCCTCATCTTCAGGCTGGAAGTCCCAGGGAAGCCAACGTTCTTTCTTCTCCTGAGCCAGCGCTCATACTCAGCGGGCAGCGAAACGGGCTGCTGCTGCTCCCTAGAGCAGCGGTTCTCAACCTTCTGGCCCTTTAAATACAGTTCCTCATGTTGTGACCCAACCATAAAATTATTTTCGTTGCTACTTCATAACTGTAATGTTGCTACTGTTATGAATCGTCATGTAAATATCTGATATGCAGGATGGTCTTCGGCGACCCCTGTGAAAGGGTCGTTCGACCGCCAAAGGGGTCGCGACCCACAGGTTGAGAACCGCTGCTCTAGAGTTAGAGAGTGAGCTCCCCGGCACCAGAAGCATTCAAGCACTGACGCCGGGCTGGTCCCAGGTCTGTTGCCTCAAATACATTCCCTCTGTGTTGTAGAGGCTGATGACTATATATATATTTTCAACCCAAAAGTGGAACCTCAATACAATCTTGTTATAAAAAATTAAAACATTGCAAATAAAGCTAAAGAGCTCCTGGCAACCACTGTGGGTTTGGTGAGTAATTTCCAGACCTTTTCCTCCTCATCTGGAGAGATCATGGGGGGGCATTAAAGTAAGCATCACTCTCCTGACCGGTTTGGCTCAGTGGATAGAGTGTCGGGCTGTGGACTGAAGGGTCCCGGGTTCAATTCCGGTCAAGGGCATGTACCTTGGTTGCGGGCACATTCCCAGTAGGAGGTGTGCAGGAGGCAGCTGATCGATGTTTCTCTCTCATCGATGTTTCTAACTCTCTATCCCTCTCCCTTCCTCTCTGTAAAAAATTGATAAAATATATTAAAGAAAAAAATTAAAAAGAAAAGTAAGCATCACTGTCCTGTGATCTTCCCACGCAGCCCGGTCCCAGGCCTTCCCTCCTGCCTTCTACTCGGACCTTCACGGTCTGTGATGGGAGCTGGCAGGCAATAGCCCCCTTTTGCAGATGGAAAAACTGAAGCTCCAAAAAGCCCACGATCACACAGGAGGAAGGGGGGTGGGGGGGACCACACCCCCAAACAGACCCTGGTATTGGCTGCAGATGTGCCTTCTGGGATGAACTGCCCACTCCAGACAGATTGCTGGGCACAGCTTCATTCATTCATTCATTCATTCATTCAACCTCTGCCAAGGGCCTGCCGCAGGTAGGGCCTCCTGCGGGTAGGGTTCAAAACAGGGGCCTGAAGCAACGCACATCCCAGAAGGGGGGTGAGAGCTCTAGCTGCTCCCAGACAGTGCAAGCCACGCCCTTCCTCCCGGGAGAGATTCGAACATGACGAGGGGACCTTCGTGTCTGTACTGTTTACAGTTTTAGAGACAAACATCCATTGCTTTCGTTACTAAAAAGAAATAACAACACAAAGCCAGCAGAATCCAAATGAGAAACTGGGGACTGAGGGCTTTGCCAGGCGGCCCCCCAACTCCCTGGGATCTAAGACGCCGACTCCCAGGCAAAGAAAGTCTCAGGTCGTGAAATGGTAAAAGGGGAAGCGTGGAACTGTCAGCAGCTCAGGCCCCATTAAAAAGGCCCCCGAAACCCAGAGGTCATTTCTTCCTGCACAGTGGATGTATTTATTTTTATATCTGGCCAAACGGAGGGGAGAAACCCCGGCTACTACGGAGCGCAGGGGCTGAGAGAGAAAGGGAAAAAGAAAACAACGGTGAAGTGGTGTTTTATGAGCGGCACTAAATCCCCTCACACAATGAATCACACGCCCGCTAACGAGGAAGACTCCGGAAAGTCTAGGGAACGGAGTCAGGGGAGCTGCAGGAAATCGGATAAAGGTGCATAAAAATGCATGTGTGCCTGACACACACAAACACACACACCTACACTCAACACACACAGTCACACACACTCACATTTACACACTCAAACACACTCACACTCACCACACATTCACGCTTACACACTCATACTTAAACACACTCACACACACTTACCACACATTCACACTTATACACTCATACTTAAACTCACAATCACACTTACACACTCATACTTAAACACACTCACACTTGCACACGCACACTCAGCACACTCAAACCACGCTCACTCAACACACAACACACTCTCACACACTCAACACATACTCACACTTACATACTCGCACTTAAACACACTCACACATACACTCAACACACATATTCACACTCACATTCACATACACACACTCACACAAACATATACACACACCACTAGCATCTTGACCAACTATCTAAACCATCAAAAGGGCCAGCCAGTGTGGCTCAGGGGTTGAGCATCCACCTATGAACCAGGAGGTCCAGGCTCGGTTTGATTCCCAGTCAAGGGCACATCCCCGGGTTGCAGGCTCAATCCCCAGTGTGGGGCGTGCAGGAGGCAGCCGATCAATGATTCTCTCTCATCATTGATGTTTCTATCTCTCTCTCCCTCTCCCTTCCTCTCTGAAATCAATAAAAATATATTTTTTTTTAAATCAAAAGGTCCTCCTCATTTTCCAGAATTGCCAGCTCCCTCCTGGGCAGCAGGGGGAGACCCTGTTCCCCACACCTGGGCTGGGAGGAGGCCTGATGACGCCGTAAGCACTGAGCCCTGTGCCTGCTACAGAGTCTTGGTCAATGGGCCATGAGCTTATCTTTCCTGTCACGTTGTTACCATCAGCAGGGACCTTGGGAGGCCTGTGCCCAGGGGGTGGGAGGGAGCTGGAGCAGGAGCCGAAGGGAGGGAGAGCGAGCAGGTCCTGCACAGACTGGGGCAGGGCCCAAGGGGCTGGGAGGGAAGGGCTGCTGCAGGTCAGGCCCCAGGCCACTGAGGGAGCAGTTGTGGGGCCTGAAGTCCCAGGGCCCCCAGCCCTGCAGTCAGAAAGGGAAGCGGATGCGGATAAGAGCAGGGCCGGCGAGGGAGAGGAGAGCGCAGGGCTGTCCCTGAGGGATAGCAGGAGTGGCCTGGGAAGGCCCGGTGTCCACTGAGTCGTACATGGAAGCTTTGCCCCGAAGTGTGTGACTCCGGGCTCACCGCTGACCCCTCTGAGCGCGGTTTCCTCTCTGGGAGTGAGGATCCCATCTCCCCGCAGAGCAATGGCTCATCTGACGCCACCCACTGTACTACCTTCACCCAGGGCCACCCCTCCTCACCTCGGAGCCTCCATAGCTGGGGCAACAGCCAACAATGCCTACTAACTGCCTTACCTTCCAACACAAACAAGCGGAGCCACAGTCTAAGTGTCTTTGGGTCCACTGCCTGATCTCCTTTCAGCCCCCTGGTCTCTTTCAGGCCCAGTCACACAAACAGCCACGCTGCCCGCTGAGCGAGGACAGCGCCCGCCCGCCCGGTTCTGTGCGGCCGCAGCCCCTCCAGACAGGGGCTCGGGCAGATCCCAGGCCGGCGAGGGCAGATGGGAGGTGTTCAGGGCACACCCAGCCCTGTGCACACTGCGGGCCTCTACAGGGGACCTGTCACCGTGAACAACCGGTTCCCCCAGCGGGAGTGCGGTTGGAGCCGGGAGCCAGCGTCCGGGCAGGCGGTCTATTGTCTGAAGGTCGGCCAGGCCGTGGGGTGACAGCAGGGCCAGCGGCCTCCGGATCTGCCCCTAGTCCACACCCCCTGCTCCTTTAGGGAATCCTCGGTGAGGTCATCCACCAGCCCCCACAGGCCCAGGGGCCCAAGCTGACAGTCATGGCCAAGGTGGGGGAGCCAGCGGCATCAACCGTCCTCTGGGGGAGCCCAGCACAAGTCCTCCTCCCCAGCCGGTCGGGACTGCTCCCCTGGCCAGCGTAGCCAGGGCGGCTGGGTCCCGCGTGGGCCACACCCAACCTCGCTTCCTTCCTGCCAGGCTGCCCTTCATCGGAGGCTGCAGGGAGGGGCCCCAGTCACAGAACCCCCAATACCTTCCTGACCCCCTCCCCTCCCGGTGACACGACTTCTGCTTGGGGACCCGAAGGGCCGGGAACAGCCCTCGACAGTGACAGCGGCCGAGAGCGGGCAGGACCCTGGATTCCCACGCGTGTTTGAAATCAAGTTCAGCTCCACCAGGACCTGCTCACCGGAGCGCCAGTGCCCGGCCCTGACCTGGGCTCCTGGGCCGGACAGTTGTCACGTGGGGCCAGCTCTTCAGGCACAGTCCGCGGAGCCAGAACCCCGGGATGCAGCCCTCAGTCACCCCCGAGGAGCGGTGCAGCCTTGAACAGATCATTGAGCCTCCCTGAGCCTCTGCTCCTGTCCCTACAGTGAGGATAACGCTGGCACCAGCCCCGCAGGTGGCACGAGGAGAATCTGAGAGAACTGGGCACAGCTCTCAGCGCAGGCCAGGCTCACGTGAACGGCCGGTCGGCCAGAGCCATCGCTGCTGCGCTGCCTTCCTGGCCACACTGCCCCTCCCAGCCAGGGCGCTCTTGGCCGCCCTGCACCAAGGGGTGTCGCTGGGAGTGGGGCTGACACCAGCCTGAACCCCCTGCGAAGCCAGGCGGGTGCTGGCCTGGGAGCTGTGCCCACAGGAGCATGTTTTCTCATCTGCCCAAAAGCACCCGACAGGGAATGACTGGGGTTCGGGAGCCCTGGCCGAGCCCAGCCACTGCCAGTCAAGGGGCCTGGACCCATGCTCACCCAGCTCTGCCCTCCAGCCCCACGCAGCCACCCTGAGCAGGAGGTGGCCGATGTCTGGCTCCCAGTCCCTCGCTAGCAGGGAAATGCTGTCCCCACCCCCACCCCCACCTCCACAGGCCTGCGGGCTGCGCTGCGGCAACCCGGGTCTCTCCCCGACATGGCCACTGTAGGGACGGGGGTTGCAGGGGCAGACTCAGGTAGGAAGAGAAGAGAATGGTGATCCACCAGGTTAGTAAAACTACATATATACATATGTATGTATATGTATGTGTATATATGTATATACACTAGTATATATGTATATATTTGGAGGACAACTTGGGAAATTTGAAAATCAATTTCTTATTAGATGATCATTAGGAAATGACTGTTAATCATGATGTTTACAAGTTACTTCGAAATGTTGCAGCCAAAATAGAGAGGAAGAGATAGAGATCTAACATAGAAAAGTAAAACAAATACAGCCAAGTGTCAACAACGATTACATTGAGATGGTCAGCGTGTGGGGATACGTTGGACTGTTCTTGCGTCTTTTCTGTGTGCTTGAAGTTTTTCATGAGAAAAACGTTTAAATAATAATGTTAAACGGTGAACAGGGGGCTCCAGTCATGTGAGTTCTCTCTGTCCTCTCCCCACCTGCACTGCTGCCTCTGCCGCCAGGAGGCACCCTCCTGGGCAGACCCCTGCCTCCTCGGGGGTGTGCGGGGGTCCTCCCGGGGTGACACGCTAGAGCCACTCAGAAGCCAGTGCCCCAGGAAGGGCGGCCCATCACCCCCAGAGCAGTGACAACGCAGCTCACGCTTAGGTGGCTCCTTTAGGGTGAGAACCCAGAGAAAGATGCTCCTTGCTGCATTTTCATAAGAAAAAAACGGAACTAGCCTCCCTGTCCATCGGGAGGGACTGGGCCGTGCATTTCACAGCTCTCTCTCCACATGTTCTGACATCTCCATGTCCGTGCTATTCTGAGGGAGCGAGGATGCTGCAGATAATATAAGAAAACACTAGCTATTTAAGGTCATTGTGCATTTCTAGAGAAGGATCTGGAAGGTGGCCCACCGCCCTGTTCCCAGCGCTTGCTTCTGGAGAGTGAGAGGAGGCGGAAGAGAAACTTCCACTTTTCGTGCCCAACACGTCTGCATTTCTGGAATCTGTTTACAATGCTAAGCGGCACCTACCTGCCAGCACTTCCTGCAATTCGGACAGTATAACGATACTTCCGAATACTCACATAGCACCTACTATGCGCCAAGAACCATTCTAAAGGCTTCATGCATATGGACTCATTTGATGGACACAATGTAATTCACATTATTATTATCAGGCACAAGCCCTGGAGCTCGGTTTAGAGATGAGTGAGGCCCAGAACCGTTGAGTGACCTGCCCAGGGGCACAGGGCCGGTGAGTGGCGGAGCTGGGGTTGGACCCTGGCTCCCTCTCTGCCAGCCGTGCCCTCACAGCTCTATTACACCACAGAGGCCCAGAGCAAAGCCTGGATGAGTTTGGCCGGGGACTCGCTGGGGGGAGGGGGAGAAGAAAGGCCAGTCCTGTCATCGGGGGCGGGGGTTCCTGGGCCTGCTGTTTGCAGGTGCTGAGGACTGAGTGTTGAAATCCGATCTGCTTCACACGTGCAGTGAAAGGTGGGTCTGACCCCGAGACCCCCCCAGTCACAGCGGGGACTCGAGGGCTCCAGGGCTCACCCCATCCCCAGCATCGTAGGGCCTGGACAGAGGTGTCACACTGCCCCAGAGCCACACCTTAGAATTCTGAGAATAAGAAGTGGCCCATCACCCTGAAGAGACACACCCAGATGTTAGCAGGGGCAGATCTGGGGCGTGAAATTGAGGGTAATTTTTATTTCCTTCTTTGTACTTTCCCACAGTTTCCAAATTTTTATTCAGTGAACATGCATCACTGTTATAAGTAGAAAAAAAAAATAATGTAGTTTTTTCTCAAGGACATATCACAGAAAGTATTTCAGTCGGTGAGTGTAAGATGTGTGACCCTCATTAAACCAAGAAGAGGAAATGGAAGAAGGAGACAGAAGGAAACCAGCATTTGTTGGGTACCTACTTCTGTGGTGAGCATGGTGCTAGCAACGCTACCTCTGTGATCTCTTTAATCCTGACAACTACCCTGGGAGTTTGGTGCTACAATACCCATTTTACAGATGGGGATGCTGAGGCGCGTAGAAGGAACGTGACTTGCTTTTTCCACTCACCATGCGACCTTTCCACAAGGAGGCACAAATGCAATGTCAAAGCCAAGTTTGCTTTAAAAACGTCCAAAGGACCTGTTATCCAGGGCCTCTTAAAGAAGAGCAAGTGGCTCTTCGCGGTACAGCGGCCCCTCCGGTCATCACCGTGTTGTAGCCCAGAACGGTGGCTGAGGACTATGGTTTGACTTTTTTTTTATGACAGAGAATTATTTTATCTGGTGACATTAATGGCTGATGTAGATAAAGGTGAAGTGGACTCAGTCTACCATTTGGTTGCCAGTAACACTGAAAATGGGTACAATCCTTTAGAAGCAACAGGTTGAGATCTTTCGACTCAGGAATTCCATTCCCAGGGATGTATTTCTAAAAACTACTTCAGCAGAAGCAGAAAGCTAAAGAGGAAGGGAGAGGGAGAGGGAGGGGGAAGCCCCCTAAAGACATTCCTGTCAGTATTAACTACAAAAGCAAATAACTTGTACTGCATCAGTGTGCGGGGAGGTGCTATTCCATGTGCTCTTGGACAGTAGACAGTGTGTCCACAGGGGTAGCCAGCCTCCAAGACGCCCCGTGATCTTGGCCTCCTGACAGCCACGCCCTGGGACCTTCCCTCTCAGCAGTGCGTAGGGCTGACTTGGGGAGCCGCAGGACATTGTCAAAGCGACATGTGTGACTTCCAAGGAGGGGTCATGAAAGCTTTTGTAGCTTCCACCGTGGTCTCCTCATCTCTCATTCTGGGGGGAGGCAGCCACCTCCTCATGAAAAAACTCAGGCCACACTCTGGAGAGGCCCACGTGGGGGCCCCCTGAAGCCCCCCCAGAGTGAACCATCTTGGGAACAGACATCCTCACGCCACAGGGCACGTGCCCCGGCTGTGGGCTGGGTCCCCGGTAGGGGGCGTGCAGGAGCAGCCGATGGATGTTTCTCTCTTCATCCCTTCCTCTCCCTCTCTCAGATCAATAAAAGCATGTTTTAAATAATAAAATAAAATGCACACGCTCAGGAAGGCAGAATGGAAAAACCAGAAATGTCCATACTAGGGAACAGGGATTCCAGGTCATTTAAGAATCTTTAAGTATTTGGTTTAGGAATGTATTAGAAAGGGGAAAGGGAACATATGTAAAACTTTCAACAATAAAGAATTTTTTTAAAAAGAATTTATTAGACTGGCCTGTCAAGGAGAATTTTAAAAAGGTGATGCCCAGCTGGTGTGGCCCAAGGACTGAGTGTTGACCCAGAAACCAAGGGATCGCCAGTTCGATTCCCAGTCAGGGCACATGCCCGGGTTGCGGGTTCAATCCCCAGTAGGGGACGAGCAGGAGGCAGCTGATGGATGATGTTCCTCTCACATTGATGTCTCTCTCTCTCTCTCTCTCTCTCTCTCTCCCTTCCTCTCTCTCTAAAAATAAATAAGAACTTTTTTTAAAAAAAGGCTGAGAGGTAGCATATGTTTCCACAAGGTGTCTAAACAGAAACAAAAATACAGGCCTCTAAGGCCGTGGTCGGCAAACCGAGGCTCGCGAGCCACATGCAGCTCTTTGGCCCCTTGAGTGTGGCTCTTCCACAAAATACCACATGCAGGCGCGCGTGTACAGTCAGTGCGATTGAAACTTAGTGGCCCATGCGCAGAAGTCGGTATTTTGTGGAAGAGCCACACTGAAGGGGCCAAAGAGCCGCATGTGGCTCGTGAGCCACGGTTTGCCAACCACTGCTCTAAGGAGTAAGCCTTTTATTCGCCGAAACTTTGGCCGCCAGGATAACTCCTTCCCGGAGATCTTACAAATTGTGCAGCGCTGCTCCTCACGCGGAAGCGGTTACTGAAGCTGCCACCGCTTTCCCGAAGCAGAACGTGGAGCCGAGCCCAGCAGAGAGAGAGGCGTGGGCGGCACGGTGGGCAAACGGCCACTTGCTGTGACGGGAGAAGGAAGTGCAGGGCCCGGAGTGACAGAGAGTAACAGAGTCGGAGCAGAAGCATCACCCTCAAACCCCAAAACGGCTGCAGACGCAGAAGGACGGGGAGAGAATCTCCGAGCTTCCTGAGCTCTGAACCTTGGATTCCCATAATATCTCACCAGAACAGATTCATCGTTCTGGGGAGAACGTGAACATCCCAATATCAGAAATTGTTCCGAAGACACAGAATCTATTTGCAGCCCCTCCCGTAGGCCATCGCTCAGCTCAAAGTCTGTCAGTGGCGCCCTGGCTGGTTCGGCTCAGTGGATAGAGCGTCGGCCTGGGGACTGAAGGGTCCTGGGTTCGATTCTGGTCAAGAGCACATGCCCAGGTTTCAGGCTCAATCTCCAGTAGGGGGAGTGCAGGAGGCAGCCGATCAATGATTCTCTCTTTTCATTGACGTCTCTCTCTCTCTC